CATTTGAGGTGGGGGTGGGGGGCACCTTGGGGCAGCAGCTGTAGGGCTCCTCTGTTGAGCCTGCACCAAGCTGCCCCCAGGGGGAGGCTGAAGGAGTCAAGGAAGAGAGGACTGAGGGGGCATTGACAGCAGTTGGAGATGGGCTTCTCCCCCGTAGCTGCTGGGGATGGGGTTGGGAGTGAGGAGGGCCTGGGCTGCAGCAGAGGGGAGCGAACCCGGTGCTGAGGAGGCACTGTCTGCATCTGAGGGGGGCCAGGCGTTGGGGCAGGCACTTGGAGGATCTGTGGCATCTCCTCCCTGGACATTTCCAAGAGCAGGTTGGACAGACATGGCTGGGATGGTTTCATCAGGGATGATCCGGCCTTCAGCATGCAAGGTCCCTTCCAGCCTGACTTTCCTCATTGTCAGCAATTTGAGGATTTCTGCCACATCTCATTGGTGGGTCTTGAGGTGACTTGAGAGCCCCAGACCTGTCCCCAAGGTTGCAGGTCTTTTTGCAGGGGGGAGAGAATAAGCCGTAGGCTAGGACTTCTCTCCTTTTCCTTCCCCTCTTCTCTCCTTTGACGGCTTTACTGTGATCCCGTGAAAGAAGCATTTTGCAGAACTCTGCTGGAGCCACAGCCTGGGAAAGGGGTTTTGAACCCAATTCTGTTTGCATGCTGTTAGACCTGTCCACGGAGGAGGGTAGTCCTTTAAAATTAAATTGCAAGTCTGGTAGGTGAAGCATGAGAGCAAGGGGACAGTTTATGGTGGCAGACAACTGAAAAAAAGATGAATTCATAGGACCGAGGTTATACCAGCACTGCAGGGCAATAAAAAGAAAGTTGACCTGCCTGTGTTGAGAGCAGATGTGCAAACATCTTGTCTGATGTTAGTGAATTTTATTCACTGGTTATTATCGATGTTCTTTGTCATCTTGAAATGATAGGCATGTGCGCCTTCCTGTGAGATTTATTTTCCTGTGAACCCCTATTGACAGTGTGTGCGCCACTCATTTCTCCAAGACAGTGCTAAATATAATGTTTGTTATTCAGCAAGAATTTTAAAATGGATTGGAAGGAAACAAATAAGGAAGGAAAGAGGGAGGAAAAGGACCGTGTGAATAAGATGCAAAACATGAATTGATGTACAAGGCAGAGTGTTCTTTTTTTAAGAAATAGGAATTTGGGATATAAATGTCCAATTCTACCTAATTAGAAAATAGAAAAGTATGTTAGCCTGTTAGAGGAGTAATTAACATTGGTTTCTATTAATTCTCAGGGGCCAAGTCAGGAATATGGCGACTCTAAAGGACAGTAAGTACTTCAGGCTTGCCTGTAATATGGGTGGGAATGTGTGCAAGGAAGAGAATATGTTAAAATGCAATATTAAATTCAAACAACTTGTTTTCTCTTTGGTAAACTCATTGTGAATCACCCTACCTACTTAATTTTAACTTCAAAACTCTCAAATCCTTATTATTTTTTTTTTAAGTATCTTTCAAGAGACTGGCTCTGGTGATAAACTTTTTAAAAATGACAGTCTAAGAAGATCTCACCAGCCCTTTGCTTATGTGTATTATGGATGGTACTTACCCTGCAAAACTCTATTAGTAACATCACCTGGTTGAAGGAATAGAAAGGTCAGAATAAGAGTGTGCAACTGAAATACAGGGACTTCCTTGTGACTGGCTAACTAATTCCTTATGTTTTTTTTTTTTAATTATTAATTTGATCTTTCACATATATTTATAAAAACCAAGGATTTTGAGTGGAAAATGGAATAACTGCCGTAACCCTGTTTTCAAAGCCAGCATATCTTATTTGATCACTTTTTAAGCATTTACTTTCTGTATTTATTTTGGAAATGTCAAGTACTGTTATAATGGGACTAAGTGACACTGTGGGATTAATTACCCCAGCCATCAGAATAAGTGGGAATTTAGTAAATCAAGGGAAAAACAGCTTCAACCAAGATGATTCTACTGGATCAGTATTCCTTGTAACCTTTGGATGTTTCTTCAAATAAAATCTCTTGCAAGGTTGATGTTCTGGTTTTGAGGGACTAATGTGAGGTTAGTTATAGACTGAGTTGTTAAAAACAAGCTTCTTGTATTGTTCCTGAGTGATTACTCCCAGAGAGTGAGAACAGATGTGTTGGTGTCATCGCTCATTTCTATTCTATCAGATAACTCATTTTCTGGTTCCCCTATTGGGGTACATTGTAGCAATCCATACTGCAAATGCTACAGTAAAAGTATTTGGTTTTTATATTTTAAGTTTGTTCTGATTTCTTTCTGTTTAAGACTCTTAGCAACACTTCTCCAAATCTTAGCTTTTTTTTTATAAACACTTGGTTTGTCAAAATTTAAATTTGAGAACAAATTTAAAGGCAAGTTACCAGGTCAGAAATACTGAGATTTGTTTCCTTTGTTCTCTGATGCTGAGGACGCGTATGATGACTAGGAGAGTGTATTTATTAAATTTGTTAGGGACTTGCAGGCAAAAAATAATGCCTCTATTAATGTAGAACTTCAGCTTAAAGTTCTGTTACTTTGGTTCCTGTTTCTGGGATGTGAGAAATTCCCCCTTCTTATGAATGTCCATTCTTGAGGTAAATGTACAGGTACTTCTTACTTAACGTCGTCCCGGTTACTGTTATTTTGTTATTACGTTGCTAATCTATTAGAGAACATACTTGTTTAAAGTTGCATAATGTTCAGTTATAACGTTGTTTGACCACTGCTTGCTAGTAGGTAACTGCTGTGATGTAATTGGCTTCGCTTAACATCATTTTGCTTAGTCTCATTCTTCAAGAATGTAACTACAACATTAAGTGAGGAGTAGCTATACTATGGAGTATTTGAGGAATATTAAACTATGAAGAGGGGTTTATACCCTGAATATACTCTTAATATTTTGCTAATTTAAATATAACTGTAAAAGTAATCCTGTTTTCTTTTTTTCCTACATAATCATTCTTTACTGTGACAAGGTGGAGAAGTTTTGCGTAGGGACTTCTTAAGTTTTTTTTAAGAACTTGAGTCCAATTTTAACTTCTGCATGCTTGCAGTTACCAGACGTTTGAAGTCCATCAGGAACATTCAGAAAATTACAAAGTCCATGAAGATGGTTGCTGCAGCAAAATATGCAAGAGCTGAGAGAGAGCTGAAGCCTGCTAGAGTGTATGGAGTAGGAGCCCTGGGTAAGAGAGAGTAATAATATTTTCAACTTTTCTTGCCCCTTTCTTTGGTTGCATAAGTTTGGTGGCCCTTCGGTTTCAGCTCTGAAACTGCTGTTACTGGCAAACACCCAATTGCAAAGCTTTGGAAAGGGTAGATAGTCACCTTGGGAGCAGCATATGAAAATAATGCAATTGTCCATACATAAAACAGTGAAATTATCTGTACACTAAGCCCTGCTGTATGCGTAAACATAATGCACCTTAAGCTTTTCTGTTAGCTGTGCCAATCTTACAGGTCAACTGGAACAATAATAGGCTAACTAAAGGCACACTTGCAGACTAAAGTGGAATGTGGGTCCATTTAGAAATAGTTCTATTTAGAATAGGGACTAATATATTTTGTCAGTGCCAAAATATCTTTCAGTTTTCTGGTCACTTGTACCTTTGATTGTAACTTTTCCTACTCTTTCTCTAGCTCTCTATGAAAAAGCAGAAATTAAGGCGTCTGAAGACAAGAAGAAGCACCTTATTGTTGGTGTGTCATCTGATCGTGGTCTCTGTGGTGCTATCCACACCTCTGTTGCTAAAACCATAAAAAGTGAGATTATTGCCCTTTCAGACAAAGGGAAAGAGGTCATGGTGGTTGGAGTGGGTGACAAGCTAAGAGGCTTGCTTCAAAGGTAATCTTGAAGTTGTTTCTTTTTTGCATTTCTCGTGGTAGAAACTTGGAGATATTTTCAGATAGATGATTTAGAATGCAGAGGCCAGTTTATTACAAAATGGTAATGAATAAATTAAATTTTCTGCAGTTACACCACAGTTGTTTTGCTGACTTGAGTGCTCTGTTACATTGCGTTGAAGTATGCTGAAGTAAGAATATGAATGCTGCTTAAACTAGCACTGTTGTAAAATAACTATCTTATGAATTTATCTCAGTGAACAACATTTTAAATTAGTAAATTTCCTGTTGCTCAGGCCCAAATACAAGAAAGTGCTTAAGCATGTGAATTATTTTGAAATTGAAAAGGACCACTCATGTTCTTGAAGCCAGTTGCACACTTCAGTGTTTTCCTAGGTCAGGGCCCTAGACAGTTTCATAATAGCAGGTTGGCTTACATTTAACATAAGATTATTTTTATTTTAGGACACACGGTCAGCACTTCTTAGTGACATTCAAAGAAGTAGGGAGGAAGCCTCCCAGCTTTGGAGATGCTTCAGTGATTGCTTTAGAGTTGCTAAACTCTGGGTATGAATTTGATGAAGGATCCATTATCTACAATCGGTTCCGGTAAGGTGCTAGAAGAACAGTGTCAGTTTTTCTTTAAAAGAATGAATGTATTG